CTCTCTCTCTATCTCTTTCTTTCTCCCCTATCTCCCTCCCTCGCTCCCCCTCTCTTTCTCTCTATCTCTTTCTCTCTACCTCCCTTGCTCCCCCTCTCTCTCCCTCTATCTCCCTCCCTCGCTCCCCCCCTCTCTCTCTCTATCTCTTTCTCTCTCCCCTATCTCCCTCCCTCGCTCCCCCTCTCTCTCTCTCTCTCTCTCTCTCTACAACAAAGTAGAGGTGCTCGCAGGGATAAACCGAATAGACGCGCATGACAAGTTAATCTGTACAACGATATACGCGTGTGTGATTACAATCTCTCTCGCTTCAAATCCGGGAGTTCGCATATTAAATCTAAATACTCTGTTTTATAGGTAATTTATGCACGCGTCCTTGGATCCTAGATTTCTCAAGAGATGCTCTCAGGAATCAGGCCACTGACTGCGCGGAGTAGGATAAAAGCGAAGAGCGAGCGCCGATTCAGTGCACAACTGCTTCACACCCGTAGTCAAAGGTTCGTCGGCCAGGAGCTCTATAAAATAATCAAGGTAAGACATCGTTGTTTTGTTTGTTTCTATTTATCGTAATACGCGGCTCACTATGTGCTTGCTATTTAAGATCTAGGAGAAATCAACAATAACAGGTAGAACGTAACGTAACGAGAATGACTGATTGGATTTGAGTTAGTAGTTTGACAGATCCCGCTCTAGTATCTCACGCATTAATGTTTCGTGTCGATAGAAGCAGATAGAATTGCTCAAATATTTTGTAAAGCGACTACAAATGCTTTACTGAAGTACCAGATGTATATGCCCACTATATCCAGTATGAAAAGCGTTATGTGTGAGAGGTGCCGATGCACATCGTTGTACATGTAAGAGTAGATGTCGGACGTTTTGATCTGATACAGGCTGTAACAGTACGGTCTTACGATCTTACAGGATGAAGGTGTTGGTAGCAACAATCCTGCTGGGCTGTGTAGCCCAGGCTCTGAGCGAAGCCCGGGGAGAGGGAGGCATCCTGGGGCTCCAGGGCGGAAACTACGGAGGCGGAGGCGGAGGCGGAGGCGGTAGCGGTGGTTCCAGCTACAGCTACCGGAGCTCTGGCAGCAGCGGCGGCAGCAGCGGCGGCAGCAGCGGTGGCGCTAGATTCGGAGCTGGTCTTGGTGGCGCTGGACTCGGAGTTGGTTTTGGTGGCGCTGGACTCGGTGCTTCCCAGGGTGGAGGGCAAAGAGTCATCGTCACCAGGACGTCAACATCTGGCGGTGCTGGTGGTGCTGGTGGCTTTGGTGCTGCTGGTGGTGCTGGTGGCTTTGGTGCTGCTGGTGGTGCTGGTGGCTTTGGTGCTGCTGGTGGTGCTGGTGGTGCTGGTGGCTTTGGTGCTGCTGGTGGTGCTGGATTCGGAGCTGGTCTTGGTGGCGCTGGACTCGGTGGTGGAGGGCAAAGAGTCACCGTCACCAGGACGTCGACATCTGGCGGTGGTGCTGGTGGTGCTGGTGGCTTTGGTGCTGCTGGTGGTGCTGGTGGTGCCGGTGGTTTACGCGGCTACTGTTTGGATGTGCCCGGTGGTTTCCTACTACTGGCTTGCGATGCCGGCTGGTTTTGCCGTGCTACTGTGAATCCGGTTGGTTTCCAGGTGCTACTGGTGGCATCGTGGTTCAGACGTGGTGGCAGCAGCTTCCTACCCGGCGGCGGCGTTTGCACCAGGTGGCTCAGACTTCCGGATCAAGAGTAGTCCTCATTTTGTCCACGGCTGCAAGTAATATCTATCGTTAGCGAATTGCGTTCTTACGAGTCTTTTTCTCAATGGTACATTTGTAAGCTGACCTTACATTAGCATAATATCTTCATATCTAATTCATCGATATGTAATGCAGTCTAGAATATATATTCGCTGTGCATAATTACTTGAATAAAATCCGTTGCTCGTTGCTCCTTCTTCCAGACTTTTGTGCGATAACACCGTCGGGACCGCCAACAACTCGGGCCAACATCGACGCCAGCGCCTTCGTCGACAACTTTCGGCAAAACGTACAACAATCCGCCTCGGATTTCTTTTGGAACTTCAACGAGATATGGAGGAACAACCGCCCAGGCCGCCGCTC